AACCTGCAATCCGAAAGCCAAACGCTGAAACCCGAAACCCAAACCCTGAGCCCTACATCCCCGGACCCTATACCTAAGGACCTCACGTCCCGACTCTAAACCGCTACACCTTGGACCCAACCCTAGCCCCTCAAGCCTAAACTTTTACCCTCAAACCTTTTCGCCAAACCCCAAAACCCCAAACCAGCAGAAAATTGCTCAGGTAGGGAGAGAGTAGCCGGCTTGGCAAGGTAGGGCAGGGTGGAGGGATGAGGTAGGGTAGTTTGTAGGTTCTGGTAAGGTCTGGTGAGGTAGAGACAAAAGCGTGAAAGGCCCAAGACCGAAACGGGGAACGTCGGGGTTGGGTGGGTGATGGGAGGAGGCGGGACGCGGTAGGTCGGAGGTGGATCGGGTGGGATCGGGTGGGTTCGGGTAAAGGGTGGGATAGGGTAGGGTTCGGGTGGGATAGGGTAGGGTTCGGGTGGGGGCAGGGTAGGGTAGGCAGGGTAGAACTCAAACTCTAACCAACAAACCTAAAACCTCATCCTAAACCCTGACCCACCAAGCCAAATCCTAAACCCTAACCGAACTCCAACCAAGGCCAACCCTAAACTGCCACCAACCCCAAACCTTACTGACCTAAACCCCAAACAAGCCCAAACCCTAAGCCCTAACCAAACCCCAACCCTGGACAATAACCAACCCCAAACACCAAAACCGCAAACCACCAACCCCAACCCTAAAACCTAACCAAATCCCAACTACAAATTCTTAACCGCCCGACCCTAAAACGGAAGTCAGACTCCGAGCTCCAAACACAGCACTGAAAAGTGGCAATACTTAGCCTCGCTGACCCCTGCAGCGGGCTATGAACAACATTCCGAGCCACGCAGCGCGGTCTCCACTGTGCTGTGGGTATCTGTGGGTACTCTATTGCGTGGGGGTTTCACTGTGACCTGTCCACCTTGTCCTATGAGCATCGTATTGTTGTCGGACCGAAATCCCACCTGATGGCCTGAAGACCTGGGTTAGGGGCCCACCTGTGCCCCAAGTCCGACGCAGCTGACTTAAAGATCGTTTTGTCTGCCTCCAAAGCCCCATGTTGATAGCACGGCAACGAGCTTCTAAGTGAAGGCATTTCCGAGCTCAGCCCCTATCCTGGATCCCTCCAGTTCTGAAGTTGCAGGCATGGCGCGCGTCGTCTTGGAGAGAAAGTGTCTGCCTGTACTCACAGGCACAAGCCAAGCTTTCTGTCTAGAATCAAGGGGTCAGGTTAACGGTATCTGGGCCACGCCACAAGTATGGAACCTCGAAACCTTGTTGGAATTCATAACCCACGCCAACCAACGTGAGCTACGAAATCAACTCTATGCTCCGCCATAGTGCAAAAACACGAGCGAGCACAACAAACGCACCATTTACCAAAACTGGGTTGCTCGCCCTTCAATATGAAATCAACTTCAGGGAGTCTCCAGATGCTGTTGCTTGAGAAGAGATGCTGCTCCCCTTCAAGCTGATCTGAAGAAGCTCCGCAACACGTATCAGAAACGGTTGTCATCCCATCTTCCTGCTAAATTCGAAGAGGCTTGCATGCTTGAACTTAGGCTCGGTCAACACATCGATGAAGGCCAAGCCTTGTACTATTTGGCAAATTGGCAGTAGAGCTAGACAGCTCTCGTTAATGCTCACAAAGGACACATGGAGTCTTGGCTTTTGCGAGAGCTTTCCAGGTTGTAGCTCGATATCACGAATCGAATAATTGCACCCTTGGTAAACAAGTATGCCTTGAGCCTGGGCAGGTCTGTGCGGGGCCAAGGTGCGTTCGCGAAAACGATCCGTCACTCTCAACTCATCCTTCTTCTCCTGCAACATGGAGAATACATCCAGGAAAGCAGGCCAATGCATGACAAGCAATGATTTATACGCACTGTGCTTCTTCTTATTCCTTCTTCTTCCCTACTCTTGTTATTTCTATATTCAATCGTCTTCTTTTTCTTATTTTTCTGTTCTTGCTCTTCTATGCTCTATGCACAATCCGAGGATTGGGCGAGGGTTTAGCCGCAGGCACAATGGTTGCAAACTTTGGCACGGACAGATCTGGAACTGTTAGCAGTGCCTGACATTGAATCCATGATCCGTGTTCCCATGCTCCCCAAATAGGCTCTCACCAGTACTGTCCCCCGACCAATAGAGCAAAAAATACGCAATGGCGAGAAAGGTAGCGAAGTGCTAACTGCAACAATACCAATATCAAATGCGAATGCTGATCGGGCAGCATGCGTCATACTAACAACAAAGAAAAGCAGGCAGCTGCAATGCAACAAACTCGATAACAGCACTACAGCAGGCCACAACATCATATTCAGAATGCTGTTGATGCCACTACTACTGCTACTATGATGCCAAGATGCCTTAAGAGTTCTCAGTCACAGGTTCATGCTTTTGCTTAGTATGAGCAGAACAATTCACAGAGTAAGAAGAGAAGCAAACAAGCCCAACTGCTGTATCTTAGAGTTCATGGTATAGCCCGTACTTGGAGCCAACCATGAGAAATTCAAGCGAAACCGGGCAACGATGATGTTGAGCAATGACTGCGCTAATAGCAAGTTGTTGGCATCTGTAATCTCAACGCAAACGTACCAATGTGCGACGCTTGTAATTCTAGTCTGGAAAAGTTGGTAAATGGCATGCGAAACTGTTGATTGTCGAATTTCTACACATTGTATAGTCTAGACTAGTCTAGACCCTAGTATTGAAAGCTACGGATATGAAGCTGAAATGCGATCAAATGCCGGACAAAAATTCAGCAATGAGGATAACACTAGCAAGAACGATCAACAGCAGCACCAGCTATAGCGCAGCTGATACTCAAAACTACGATAATGATTCAGTACACGGTCACAAGAGCTTCAATGACGCTGGTAACACTGGTAGTGACAACAATACCAACACTGGTCGTTCCAGTAATGAATCGAGCTAGAACAGAACTGGAAGTGCACAACGTTGGATACTCATAACAGGGTTGACAGTATATTCACAACAAAACGAACCAGCAAGGACAACAACAACAACAAAAGACAGCAGCAGCAAAGTGCTGACCACTAGCTACGAGTTCAAATACTAGCATGACAAACTTAATAATGACAATACCTATAACACAAGGGCATAAGCCCAGCCAATAAACCAATTGCAGCGAAAGCAAAAGTAAGAGTAGCACCACGGATAGCATTTCAAATATGAACAAGCTAGGTCACCGATCACTACATTAATGAATGTTGTGGCAACAAAACCATACTAGCAAAGCCAGCAACAGACGTAGCAGTCACAATAAGAATAAGTATGGTAATACAAACCATCTTACTTGTAGCAAGCATGGGAACGAATCGAATGAATGGTGAGGCTAGCATTGAAAACCAATGATAACAGCAATAGTGGCAACAATCAATGACTCGGAATCTCGTAACGACTAACTGCTCTACGTTTGGCACAACCCAAACAAAATGAGAAAACAGCACTCGTTAATTGGAAGAACAACCACAATAGGCGTGATAGTAATACGAACTGTGATCGTAGCAACAGTGAAAAACCGGCTAAACCATATCAATAACAGTTTTTCTGGCAAAATCTTGTAAGAAAATACCAGCATCAGAAGTCACAGTGAGTAACACTAGTACGTGTGAGTAGGAACTGAAAAATGCTGATGGCGGGCTAATTAAAGCAACAAATAAATTGTTTTTGTTAGTTGTGCCAGTGACAATGACTTGTAATTGTAAAGGTAGCAAAAACAAGTCATGGGTACAAGCCGTGAAGACAGTTGCAATACCAATGCTGGGTCGTACGAAGAGCGAAGAAGCCGTAAAGCATGAACGCCGCCAAGCCAAAAGGACAAGGTGCAAAGAAGCCAAAAAAACAAACCAGGAAAGCAAGCAAGAGGACGAAGGGGCCAAGTAAACAGGATCCTGGGCAGGGGCTGTGACGACAAGCGTAGCACCACAACAACCAACACCGTCATGTCCACCAAACACCCTTGGCTGTCAGAGCTTTGCTGGCAAGACTGACCTAAAAAGCATCTTGAGCTTGGATTATTAGATTCGGCATTCGCCATCGATTCTGTCACGAAGTTGTAGCTTTGCTTTCAACCTACAGTCCGACAATCTCAGGCAGAAACGGCTCATACTTGCAGTGGGGAGTTACGGCAGTGGGTCAAAAACAAAAGAACAAGCTCTTTCCACCCTGTGACCCACATCGCCTCCTGCTTTGTCAGCCCATGGGCCATCAATGCCCGCGAATGCGTAGGCCTTTTCAGGACCTGGGGAACAGCGACCGACAACATTGCTGTCAAAAGACTCACACCCGAGCTCTCACGACTTTTACGGCTGTGCCTGCCGATGCTGTTGATCCCCTTGCCCCTGCTCTGGCAGCGGATCATCTTCCTCCTGCTTGCTGGAACTTAAGCCACTCACAGGCCGGAATTGTTTGTGCAGTCTGCACGACATGTAGAGGTCTGCCAGATCTGCTAGGTCCGGATGCAGGCCTTACAAGCACGAGAGCAGGAGGGACTGAGGTACAAAGGAAGACAGAGACACAGAAAGACGCAGAACAAGATAAAGACCCAGAGAAAGATTCACCCAGAAAAACTATATAAACCTCTACACAAGCTAGGTAGAATGAAATACACATTGTTGCTCTATGGAAGCTCTTGGCGGACCTTCAGTTACCAGTGCTGTACAAGTGGGACGACGACATCATTCAGGGTTCATCAAATACAGTGCTCAGCATGATGAAGACATGTGCTCAGAGTCTCGGAATTCGTCAACCTTGGAATACATTTATTCAGCTGTGGCATGTTCCACCAACTGCGCAGCACTCTGGCGGATCAAGTCATTGAACACGAAGAACATTGTTCTCAACCATGTCTCCCTGACGAGCATAGGCAAAAGATCAAAAGCAGCTCCCCTTCAAAGCTCCTCGTCCTCCTCCACCGGAGCTAAAGGCTTTAGTGGCCAAAACGGCACATGAACCTTAGGCACCTTGATGTGGAATTTGTGACCTGAAGCGGCCGGCATTTCGTGCAAGCGGATAGGGAGGATTTGTGCCAGTCAAAACGAACACTGTACAAATGCTTAGCTTAAGAGCGACGGTACTTGATTCACCAATTCAAGCTTTTGAGTAAGCTTGGTAGGCTTCATGTATGAATTCAGCGCCTCAAACCGCCAGCACCGCAGGACAGGGCGTACTGGCAGAGATTGTGCAAATTCTTGCCAACAGTACTAGGACTAAAGTACTAAAGAACCAATGCTCACATATTTTTAATGTCGAATGAAGCTTCAACAATCGCAGTTGCATTGGTTATGGAGTTTTATAGCTGGCATCCAGACCTTATGGAAGGAGCTGTCTGGATCAAGCAAATCCTGCAATGCGGGTTGCGAGTTTGAAAACCAGACACATGCAAGTTTCAGGGTGAAAGATGAACACAATCTGGCAAACATCAGCAAGCGGGCAGCTCCAGTTTGCCAGTGTGAGCCCAACATGAACCCGAAGTGCATCATGCGCATGGACCTAGAAAGGATAAGTTGCCAGCTACCCAGAAACCACACCACAAACATGATGAGAGCTTCTGGCCAATTCGTGGCGTTTGTTTGGGCAGGAGGTAAGACATTATCATACTGTGGTGTTGTTTCGCGTGTTGCGGTTTCAACGGTGATTGGCCCAGCGAACACCCAAAAAGTTGAAAATTCGAATTTTAGACTTTTCGAATTTTCGAATTTTCGAATTTTCGAATTTTCGAGCTCTCGAAATTTCGAATTTTCGAATTTTCGAATTTTCATATTTTTGAATTTTCGAATTCTTGAACTTTTTAATGTTCGACTTTTTGAATTTTTGAATGTTTGATGTGCGTGATGTCCGATTTCCGCAATTTGCGCGTTCAGCGCGAAAAATTGATGCGCGAAACAGTGTTCTGTTTATATGGGATTGAACAGAGTTGGAACTACGATTATTGAATATCTTTGCTGAGGCAAGTTAAGCTGCAGGCTCCACTCCTGGTGGTGCCTTTCCGAGGGCTTTTGGGCTTAGGGCTTAGTAAGGCTCAGGGCTTCAAGGTTTTTGGGCTTAAGGGGCTTAGTAACCTCAACCCCCCGAAACCCCCTTAACCCCCCCGAAGCCCCTTTAACCCCCCCCTTATGGCTCCTTGTAATCCAATCTAGAATATGATTAATATATATATATATACTTACATATATATATACATGTTGAATTGGTTCTGCCGTTGCTGGAGCCGCCCATTTGCTTGACGTACGTGCCGAGCCAGCACACGGCGTGCGCAGCCACGCACGTCTCAGCTTGAGTAGTCCCCTTTCCTAGGGTCTTCGATCCATCTAATATCTCTATAAAGTCCTCTTCTTGTAGGTATTGAGACAGGCGGACATTCACCACCTTCTCCAATTCGCCGTTGATCAGCTGTATTTGATGCCGCGTGGTCGGCAACTTCTTGAGGAGCCCATGCACCGTGATGTGGCCTTGCTGCCACACTGCCGTGGCTGTCGGGGCCACCTCCGCATTGCAGCGTAGCCAATCAAAAACAATGTTTTTCACATTGTTTTTTCCGTCTGAGCTGGCCCCAATCAGGACCTGCGCCAGTCGACTTCCCACCACGTTCCACTTGGACTCGGTGCCGGGCACCGCGACCACTTTCACTGCGTCTTGCTGTTGGCCACAAAAAACCAAAAAGGGCTTGCGACTGCAGCGCAGCATGTACTGCGTGTCCGTCAGGACTGCAACCTCCTCCTCTGGCCACACGACGGCAGGCCTCTGCCAGCTCCACTGCGCAAACAGCTTGCAGCGGGGTCTTTCTCTGGGCGTCAATCTGGAGGATATCGTTGCAGAAGGCCTCGATGGCATCGCCAAAGTGGTCCGCACACCGGATTCCTGAGCTAGGAAGTCTGACACAGGACTCAGGAGGGGCACCTCGCGAAAGGAATGAGGCACGAGACATAACACGCACGCAGCCTAGACACTGGCGACATCTTGCGCAGGTTGTACTCCTGCCCGACTGCATCCTCATTGTAGATGGCCTGAGCCCAGCGGGCAAGGAATTCCTCGCGCACTATCTCAGGACCGTGTCGCAGGACTTGCACAGCAGCTGTTGCGGCACACTCCGGAGTTAGCACGCCTGCCCCAAGGAGCGCGTCCTTCACTACTTGCAGGAGTCTGGAGCGCACATTCTCCGCCGGGTCAGATTCGTTCTCGATTCTCTGCAGCATGCTCTGCCACTCTTCGCCAGCCAGCTTCTCGATGTCCTGCAGAGTGGATGAGGTCACCTTTTGCGGACTGCCCTGCGATTGCTCCATGGGTTGTACTAGGTTGCTGATCTACTGCGAAAGGAACACGCATAGCTCCAGTGATGAATCATGGGTATTATGGAGTTGATGCCAGCGGGGGCGAAGGCACTAGTAATGGAGAGAAATAAGTATTTGCTCAGGCACCGCGCAACAGCATGTTGCCCAAAGTCGTTTTTGCTCGCAAAAATGTCGCACAGACATGGGTGACTGAACCCTCGCGGCGCGGCAATGAGCTGTGAAAGAATGCCACGCACTCTGTGAGAATGGCAACGCAGCACGCCAAGAACTGAGCACTCCGTGAATCAATTAACACCGCATGTGCCAAAGAGCTGAATACTGTTGCAAGTGAAAAAAATGGGCTTCCTAACGCTTTGTCTTGCAGCCTATTTTGATCGGCGCAAACCACCCCTGGGGTCCTCCCGACCTTGAGGAGGACCGCCGAAGGAAGAAAGCCTGCCGTAGCAGGTGACGCAGGCAGTATCAGAGTAGGAAAAATATTTGCAAGGGTCGTGTCTCAATGACCTGGCAGCTCTAGGCTGTAGTGCAAGGGCAGGGATCAACAGATTTGTCACGCGCAGAATCACGGAATTATACACGTGGAAAAAACGATTGCCCCGAGCACGTGCCTGCACCCCAAACCTTCAAAACCAAGCCCCAAACCCTAACCCTGGACCTTCGACCCCAAGCACTCAGACAACGTGTCATTATCATTTTCCGTGTATAGAACCCTCCAACTCTACACTTGAAGAACGGCAGGAGGCTCCCGCGCTTTCGCAGAAGGGTTTCCGCAGCGATGTCCGCTGGCGCGCGCGCATGCGCGCCGCAGGCAGGCAGCCTGCTGCAGCGCGCGTTCCAGGAACTAGTAGGTCCGGCTGCTAAGCAATGGAAAGAATCAAGAGTGAAGCAAGAACTAAGAGTGTCAGCTGGCGTAGAATCCATGGCGCTAGATGGAAAAGTCCACGGATACCTATAGGCCACGTTTGCGCATGAATCACTTGGGGTCTGTAGGTTGCAGTGGAATGGTCCCAGATTTTTCACGCGTAGAATTACGGAATTCTACATGTAAAAAACGATTGCTCCGGGCATGAGCCTGCGCCCCAAAGCCCCAGCCCCAAGCCCCAAACCCTGAACGTAGACCGGAAGCCCTCAGACAACGCTTCATTTCCCACGCACAGAATTCTGTAGTTCTACACATGAAAAACGTCTGGAGGCTGCCGACCTTTCGGGAGAAGGGTTGCCGCAGCGTGGTCCGCTGCGCGCCGCAGGCAGGCAGCCTGCAGCGCGCGAGCCAGGAAATAGGTCAGGGAAGCAACGGCAAGGATCAATAGTGAAGCAAGAACTAAGAATGTCAGCACACGTAGAATGCGTGGGGTTGGATGGGCTAGTCCAGCGATACCTAGGCCACACTGCGCGTGAATCACTTGGGATCTGTAAGTTGCAGTGGAAAGTCTTTGTCCACGAAATTGGCAAGTCTGGAACGCACCTATGTCGCAGGTTGTGATGTCCAGCATGCTTAGCTCAGACCGTGGTAAAGGCTGACGTCACAGCTTCCCCTGCGCAAAGGCCGCGCACAGGGCGCCGACGCAATCCTCTTGAAACGGGCCCAGGTTGGCCGGGGCCTGTGCTGCAGATAAAGGCGCATGGAGGGTATCCGAAGCAGCGTCCTGTAGCAGCGCAGCAGCAATCCGGTCACACGCACTGACCAGCCAAGGTTGCACTGACACGTCATCTTGATGGAGGAAACGAGTCTGGACCTCAGCCTGCCAGCAGGAGAGCTCCAGCAGGTTCGCGGTGATTGCATCACCGACTGAGCGTGCTCGTTGCGCGTACGCCTCTGTCGATTCCTCCACAGGCGCTCCACGCCAATCGTACCGGCCAACCGTGCGAAGCGGCCCACTGCTTGGCTCCACGCCATCCAGCACTGCTGGCCTCTTCTGCAGCTCGATGGCCTTGCGCAGGCCTTCCCGCCCAGATACTAGGGCGCAGCCCGCACTGCATCTGGCAGCGGAACGCGCAGATTTTTTGAGCCTCCGGGCCGGACATGACGGAGACATCGCAGCTGGGCCCGAGCCCACAGCCTTTTTGGAGCCGCCTGCCATAGCCGGAAAACAACGACGCCGGAAGAGGTTCTCGAAAGAAGTCAACGCGGCTGTCATGGAATCTGCGCAGATCTCTCGAATGTAAAGCAAAGCATCAACCCGGTCGCGCGCCTGTGAAGGAAGGGCAAGTTACAGTAAGTACAGGAGCACTGAAAGCAAAAGGTTCTTGCAAGGGCCCCCGCCTGCAGCACAGAGAGGTTGGCCAAGTCGGTTACGCGAGCGAGATTTTGTAGAATCACTGATCTGGCAGGGTCTGGCAGTGTCTGGCTGGAGTCCGGATGCTTCCATTCGATGGCAATACGCCGAGACATGAAGTCGTAAGCATCGCGAGGAAGGACGTCGCCGCGGAAGTATCCCTGAAGAACTTGTCCAATGTCTGTCGCTGCAAAAGCCCCCACTGTGAGCCACTTGAGCCCGGTAAAACCCTCAGCCATCTCAGCTTTGACGTAGTCAGCTGATTCCAGGCGCTCGACACGGGTCCAGCGACGCAGAAGCTGTCTGGCGCAACGGAGGGACCACGCAGCATCCCAGCTGCGCCACTCAATAGCCTCGGCCAGACGAAAGTAGACACGACGAAAGTAGACACGCAAAGCATCCTGGCCATGTCCCTGGTCCAGAATGTCGTGATGCCGCAGGGTAAGTGGACACTGCGGCGCGATGAACTTGCGGTGAACCTGAGCAGGAAAGTGAGCTTCCAAGGCGTTGGCCGCCGTGAGCCAAGACTGCTCCAGGTCGTCAAAGCATATAGCCACCGGGCGAACACCGGCTCACGCCGCCAACCTGAAGAGCTGAGGCACCCACTTCGAGCGGCAAGGTTTAAGGCTTGCAGGTCTTAGGGCTTAGGGGGTCTAGCCACTTACAAGCACCACGCAAGATAGAGTAGAATGGATGTGGCCTCAAGCAAACTTGCAGCAACTGGAGCTTGGCGGATGCACCCTCGGCTTTGGCAAATAGAGCTGGCAGGAGGGGCATGTCATTTAGGCCTGTGGCAGCTCCCCACGTTCGCTTTCGACCAGCCCTTGCAGCGGCTACGACAGAGCGGCATCCAGACCAAAACTTGCCTTTGTGACGCAGCTGCCGTACCGCCTGGTTCACAGCCGCACTCGCTGCAGCTGGCTTGCTCGGGGCGGCAACACTTTTCTTGGTCTTTCGCTTCGGCAGGAGCTGCTTGCTGTCTGAGCTGCTGAAGTCTATGTTGATCACGGCCCCGTATGCTCCCACTATTCTCGCGGCCAAGTCAGGGAGCAATGGCAGAATATTGTAGGTATGCAGCCAAGACTTGACGAGCGTTCTGTCAGGGCACACTAAGCAACGCTGCACCTGAGGCAGGTGCACTTGCGCAGGAAACGGCGGAATGCGTTGATTTCACCTGGGAGGCTTGGGGGGGCATACTGAAGGCTACAATATATTCTACGGGGAGAAAAATTTGATGGAGTCCCAACACGGACAAGGAGCCTCGGAGCTGACGCTGGCTCGACGACTGCAGGACTGCAGTCTCGGTACTGGATCGTATTGCTTTCTGGACTGCCCTGTAGCTCTCGCTGTCTTGAAACGCAGACCACAACGCGGGCCAGACCTCACCACTGACAATCCACTGGCCCAGAACGTCACCGACTAAGGAGGTGCCAGTAGTGGCAGTGCCAATAGGAAGGTTGTAGCGAAAGCCATGTGCCTTGCACTCATATATGGTGCTGCGAACTAGTCGTACTCCTTGAGCAGATAAGAACTTGGCAGCGAAACGCTTTCCTCGAGATCGGATAACGCAAGCAGAGTCATCATCAGTGCATCTGGGACAGGAAGCCGGCATAGCGCGGCACTGCAACAGCGTCACAGCCGTGTCCTCAAAGATCACTCGACCATTGCCTGCCAGTGCCGGAGGCTCGGTGGTGCCAGTGACTGCATCGCACGCCAGGCGTAGAACAGCAGCAGCGCTGGCATCTGCTGTTGGCCAATTCTGCAAGGGCTGCGGCGTCAGGACAGGCATTCCTTGAGCTGTAAGCGGCACCTCCCGACGGTAGGTGTCAGGGCACTCAGAGTTGGCTGCCACACACTTACGATAGCAGTGGTCGGCGCCGCTGGCAGCATGCTTCTGGCAACGACGCAGGGGCTGAAAGTTCACTATCTCAGCAAAGCCATTGCGCGGGGAAGTCCAAACGCAGCAGAATGTATCGGTCTTGGAGAGATGGGGCACAAAGTCACCGACCTGCAGTGGTCGGTCAGCTGCGCCATGCTGCAACGACGCCAATCGGACACCCAGTCGCTGATCGCCCAAAGTGTGGAGGACCAAGGGACGCACTGTCCGGCGATGGCTGGCAAAGGTGGTCGCAAGTTGCGCAAGGCCAGGCTCACCCCCATGAACCGATGTGGCGGAGGCGGCGCTGCTGCCTGCAAGTAGTGGACGCAGTCTCTGAAAGGCTTTCCAGGAAGCACGCGAGGCCGGCAAGGGACCTGGTCTCGCAGCCGCCGAGCCACTGGAGTCTCAGCAACAATGGTTGAGCATCTTACTCACATGGCTGTCGGAGAAGCCACAGACACAGGTAAATCCAGACCCGGATCGAGTAATCTTGTCGGCCGTCTCCACGAGACTGTCGGCATGGTGCACGTGGTCCGCGTGCATTCTCAGGTGATTCTTCTGGTTGCGAATGAAGTTGGTGATCTCGCGGGGCAGTGCAAAGCGCCATCCAGTAGGCTGCGCGAAGCAGGACCGGATCGGTAGGCAGCGGCAAGGCAATGGCCCATCATCGGTGCACTGCCAAGGTCTCATTACAAGGAGAGCACAACAAAGTGCAGCTTATGGGCTGGAAGTTAAAGGCTCGACAATGATGCACGCAACAGAGAAGCCTGCTCGGCTGGCACGAGCTCCTGTAACTCCTGAGGGCCCTAGTGACCGCCTGGAGCCAGATGCTTTCGCGGCGCAGCGTCCACACGGGGACATGTTCCGGAATTACAAGGTCAAGGCTGGGCAGCGTTAATTACAGCGCGCATGAAGCAGCTCAGTCAGTCATGCATGCTGCAAGGCACGACCAGAGAAACGTGCAATGGAAGCATTCGATGAACGCTGGCAGTTTGCTCAGGCAGGTTCTGCAGACCCGCCTTGTGAAAGCTCTGACAAGTGTCTCAGAATTCATGAAGCGATGCCTTCTCACGGACCTTCCGAAAGCAAGGGGATTGTTACTGCAAGAGGTACCTCTGCTGGGCTTTTGAGAATGTCACAAGTAAGTTAAGTTCTGATGTACATCTCCACATAGACGCTTCAGATTCGTAGGGCACCTAAACCTGCTCCAGATATGTCGTGGCTAGACACCTCGGCGGCCCCCCAGAGCCCCACCTCAGGCCTGGGGGGTTGGTAGTTTGGTTTCTGCTTCTAGTTTGCGCGTAAAAATCGAAAAGTTGAAAATTCGGATTTTGACGTTTCGAACTTTCGATTTTTTGAATTTGTGAATGTTTGAAATGCGCGGTGCCTGATTTCCGAAATTTGTGAGCCCAGCCCGAAAACGTGAAAACTTGAATTTTTGATTTTTTGAATTTTCGAATTTTCCGAGTTTTTGAATTTCCAAATTTTCGAATTTTCAATTTTTTGAATTGTTGAATGTTCGAATTTTCCGATTTGTTTTTGAATTTTCGAATTTTCGAATTTTCAAATTTTTTTCGAAATTTCGAATTTTCATTTTTTTCGAAATTTCGAATGTTCGAATTTTTGAATTTTCGAAATTTCCAATTTTCGAATTTGTGAATTCTCGAATTTTTGAATGTTTGAAGTGCGCGGTGCCTGTTTTCCGCAATCTGCGCCCCCAGCCCGAAATCTTGAAAACTTGGATTTCTGAATTTTCGAATTTTCGACTTTTTGAATTTTCGATTTTTTGAATTTTCGAATGTTTGTACTTTTGAATTTTCTAATTGCCATCGCGCACGGTGCATGACTCGCAGAACGGCGGCTTAGTTATTATAGGGCATATAGTATCTAACACTTAGAGGTACCAAAAATGGGACCCTAATTTTGGGAACTATTACATTATAATAGGGTACTCATGGGTTTGGGCTGCTGGCAGGCTACGACGTCGTGGATTGCCGTGCACGCAGAAGTCCTGCACTGCCGCGTTAATCTCCTGGCCGCCATGGTACATATGGGGAATAGTGGAGAAGAAAATGGAAACTACTATATTATAAACGGGCATATTTTGGGATAATGGAGAAGAAAATGGAAACTAACTATTACAGCATATTATATCGGTGAATATCTGTTTGCATGATTTTTCATCACTTGTGTCATGCTGGCATGAATCAGATCCTCTAAAAGAACTTATGCGAAATCACCTGGCAGCGTCCTCAGGAAAGATGCGCTGAGCCTGAGACGGTGAAAAAGGCACGGCTTCAGGGACCCAAAAGAACTTGCATTACAACAGAGAATCAGTCGGGTGGGCTCCTGTTCACCTTGGGCCACCCAAAGTCGAGCTGAAAGAACAAAAAGAAGCTCGAGCACAGTTGGAGAACTCGAATCCCTGGTCTGGTCTGTTGTTTCTTTTCATTCAGGGCATGACGAAGAGCCTTTGCTTATAACTCAACAACAGCTGAAACTCTCTCTGGGAACAGATTTGAGAATCCTGTGAGAGCAAGTCCAAGGCGCTGCGTGCTCTTCACCGTTTTTGCGAAAGCTCTGGTTGAGCATGTCCCTCATCGGGACTGAAGCTTGGCCTCCTGCATTGCACGGAACTTGGCGACTTGCCGTGGCAGTCTCTGGCTCTCCGACTACGGTTATGCAGTCTCGGCCTCTACAACAGAGAAAGTGGCACCATGCAGTCACTTCAGGCATCTTGGTGTGTCCTCAATGCGCTGGCCTGATGAAGTGCTTAAGATATGTTTGAGTTACACATGCTAAAGCCCAAAGCCTGATAAGAGGCCGGGGAGAGCCCCACCATAGCCTTTTGTCGGATTGCCTGAGTTTGGCGTTGGCTTGACTGATGTGGCAAGTGTCGCTCTTCACTCATGCCGAGCCCTCAGGTGCCACGGAAATTCCCTCACTTCGCTTCCGTGCTTTTTGGTCAAAGCGTGCTTTACTTGGAGCATAAAATCCCTCATCTCCTTTCATCCCAGGCTCTGCTTCCGGTCAGCACTTTCGCCTCAAGCTGAAAGAAGCGCGAGCTGTTGGACAATTGGACAATATCTTTGCAGCCAGATCTTGATCCGTCCCGTTTTCGAAGGACACGTCGACTTGAAGCAAAGAATCCAACGCAGTTGTAACTTTACGCTTTGCTTGGCCGGATCTGCGGAGCCCAACAGCCGCACAAACTGAAACTTCACTCATTGAAGGGAGCCCAGAGAACTTCATACAGGACTGCTGCTTTGAAACGTCTGGCTGCCGGAAGAAGCCAACAGCAGCTGGCAATACATTACCAAAGAAATCTACATTAGTATGAAATCCTACAACCTGCAGTCCACGACCCCTGCGCTGTGAGCCTCCAGGTCAATGAAATGCTTCTGCCACGCGCTTCCTCGGAGTCGCAGTGGTACGAAACTCAGGGATGCAAAGATCACGGGTCCGCATTCTGCAACATCACAGGCAAAGCCTGGCACAAACAAATCACAGGAACCAAAGGGTTCGAGAGCTCAACTCATGTCAAGCTCTTCGCAGAAAAGCAGCGGTGCGTGCGGAGGATACCCTGCGTCGCCAGAATGAGGAGTTGTCTCACCTTCCAGCTACTTTGATGCAACGTGCTTGTCCAAGGAAGGCTGCGACATCAACCTCCAAAAGCTCCCAGCTTTCTTCCAAAAAATTAGAGTGTATAGTTAACTGGAGTAGAAGGCTGGAACATTGCCTTGCCAAGCGTGGCTTCACACTTCGAAGCTTCCAACTTCCCAGTCCTCACCCCTTCAACCCGAGCATTTTCGCCACAAGGCATCAGTGAAGCGGAAGGGCGCATCCGAGGTCAGCCAGTACAAGAGCGCCATGCGCATACTGACCAGCAGGTCCTGAATGCTGACTGCTCCTTTTTGGGGCCATAGCTCTGTCGCGGGACTTTGGTCCAAGTAGATGATGTATGATGCATACATGCTGGCCTTCTAGACGCACCACTCCTAACCAACAGGCCAAGGCGTCATCACGTTGAGTTCTGGATGCTCGCTGCGTATCCATTTGTAGAGCTGATTCCTTGAATGTGAGGAACTTGTCACCACGCAGGATGACAGGCGATACAAAGCAACGAGATGGTGTCACTCATCGAAAGCACAAACTTTCCAATTTTTTCAGATCCCAGCGGCCCCTTGTACTTGGACAGCAACGTCAATGCCTAGGCTGTGGCAGGTCGGATTCAAATCAGCCAATATGCTCGCAGCAAATTTAAGATACTGTTTACAAAGCCAAGGCCTGAAAGTATCATCCATGCTCCCAAGGCCGGGTGGCTGCGCATTCCGAAGAGCATGCGAAGAAAGTGGATGAACTTCCTGAGAGGCCAAGTTTGCTTTGAGGGTCTCTCTTCCGCATCAGAACCTGTTCTGCTGAACATGTACAACAGTTGCGCATATCCGCCTTCAGAGAGCCACCATCAGATGTCAGATTAAGGTTGCTCCAACTTTTCCGAACGATCCACCATCCCATCCGACATGAACATTTCTCCTAAAATCGGGTCCGGTAAGGTGAAGCTGGATAAAAGCTGGAGCAAGAGATCTCCGAAGCTTATCCCTTCCCAGAGCTGGAGTCCGGAGCCCAGCGCTCATCGGCGTGCCCGTCAACTCGTCCATGGCCCAGGTAAAGGCGAATTCTGGGCGACCAGGAGCATTGCCAGGGTTCAGTTCAGGAGGCAATTACAGCCTGATGACTGTACGGCATGTAACTTACACTCTGATCAAAAGCTGCACTGATAGAATGATCTTGCATAGAGCTTCCAAAGATCTGAAAATTTTAAGGGGAACAGCCCGCAGTGTTTTGCCTGAGGCTTGAAGGGGACTCGCTTCCACTCACAGCCACATTAGATGTAAATACGGTTGACATGGCAATGACCTCTTGCATGTATGGAGACTCCTAGTTACCCCAGCAAGTGTCAGCTGCGTAAGGGATGAGGAGAAAGAAACCAACTCAGACGAGCTGCTGTTGTAGAACAGCTTCCAGAAGACCAGTAAAAGAACAAAGATCAAGGAAGCAAACATTACAAAATCCACCATGTGCTCCACAAGCTGGTACTGCTGCGTTTCCTGCCGAGTATAAGACCTGAGAAGACGCCGCGGCTCTGGACAATAACCCTTCAAAATTGGTTATTTCAAGGCTTGTGGTGAGGGGCTTTGGGCTATCCGGCTCAGACCTTGATTTCTCCTGCGAAAGTTCACCTCAGCGAGTGAAATCTTTATAGATGCGGAATAGAACACCAGCATCCATGTCAACAAATAATCATCTGTCACATGATTCTGGAGCAAAGACGTCTGCATTCACATCCCCTCAGCGCATGAGCCCCAACATTGAACGTTTCACATCCGCGTTCAACTTGCCACCGACTGCCCTAGTCGCATTAAAAACACACATCAACAAAAACATGCTGCCAAAGTGGATCAAGGCACGCGTCCAGAACCGAAATGCCAATTTCAGCGGCTTCAACAATAACACTGAGCCAGCCCCCGAAGATGTTGGCCTGAGCACGTGAAGTTTTAACTATCAGACGAGAGCATATCCCTCACGATAGTTTCAGCCGAGCAGCCATGGCACACGTCGATGCAGCTAGCACGAAGCACATAGCCACACGACGCTTCCTCGGCAAGGTTTGTTGTAGTAAAGTTGTTGGTGCATACCAGTCGTGCGTCGCCTCCACCAAGCAACCCTTCGGCAGCGTTTTCAGCTCACGCACATGCGGTCAAGATTTCAGTTCAGAAGAGATAAGTCAACATGAATCTCACAAAGCTTGAATCTGCCAGACCTATTGAAAAGCCAAGTCATTATCAAACTTCATCCTTCCACAAGCTTCAGAAACGAAAGCAACTTCAGATCCCATCCAGTGTAGGTTTGATACGGGCTCCATTTCACCCACTCCTTGCTGTCGTCGCTAATATAATGAAAGAGCTTTGTTGGGTCAGAAAAGGATGATGTGCCAATGCTCTTCACCCCTTCAGATGTGTCCGGATATCATTTCAAAACAGGTCAAAACCTCAAGTTTCCCCATGTTTCCCCCATCATACGACTTCCGAAAACCATGTCAAACACAAGCAGACATTCAAATGCCAACTTCAAATCGTCAGTATCTAACTTTCACCTCACGATAAGTTCCTGAAAAATAATGCTAGATGTTTGACTAAGCCCTTCTTGTTTTCATAGACTAGTTTTGCAGTCCGGGGCCTATCCGGAGAATCGCGGAAAATTCCGAAATCAAATGCTGGCAGGTCACGTCTTCCTCAACGCCTGGCGGTTCACTGTCCAGAACGGCGTATTGTACACCAACAGGAGCAGGAAACAGAGCTCGTAGGACAATATCCTGGCTATGAATCTGTGGGCTGTTTTCAGGGCTGCTGAATTTCCACGCCGTGCGGAGATCTTAAATCATGAGCCGAGTGTCAAGATGATCGAAGTGAGGGGGTCCACCATAGCAGTAAGAGCGGCCATCATGAAGAGCATGGACCCTCCACGGGTTTGAACTGTTGCACAAATACAAACTGGATGCGATGGCCAAAGCTCCAGAGCTCTACATGACTGCGGTCTGAAAACAGTTTCACCAAGGTGTCCTTCCATGATCTCAGTCTTTAGAACTCTGGCGCATGTTACGCCCTGCCTTCCACGGTGAACCACAAGTAGTAGTCTGGCTGAAGAGCGCTGAAGAGTAAACCGAAGCGTTTCCTTGTTTCGGGGCCATTCCAATGTGAAACTGCCCCAGCAGCACACGATTCCTAATGCCTTAAACAAAGTCCTATCGGGACCCTCTTTGCAAAACTTTTCTGGCGCAACAGCGGCTTCCGAGCTTCAGCCACAGCACGACGGTTCTAAGGTCATGCACTTCGTACAGCGGTAAGGTTTCCATATGTTTCCTTCATGTAATAATGTTCGACCAAATGAGTTTCCATCATGCACACAACCACGTCGTGAGTTGCAGCTGTCAACCGACAAGCCCCTAAAGTGCTGAATGGCCAGCTAATGAATTTCGGTTTCAAAGCATGCCCGTGCAATCTGCGTCGGGACTCTATATCGACGGCCAATGTCTTTAGGACTGTTTAGGGTTTTGAAAGGTTTGGGTTTGGTTTGGTTTAGGTCTTTTTTTTTAACGGACCTTAGGGTTTAGGCTTCAACGTTTCGGATTTAGGGTCTAGGGTGGGGTTGTTTCGGGTTTAGGGCTGTTCAGGGTTCAGGGCCGCGGTTTGTTTAAGGCTTGGGGTTTGAGGTTGCTTCGGATTCACTGTTGAGAGTTTAGGGCTGTTTAAGGGATTGTTTAGTGTTCAGGGCTTTGGGCTGTTTAGGGTTTGGGGCGTGTAGGTTTTAGGGCTTGTCCAGGGTGTAGGATTTCAGGTTGTTGAGGCTTCGGTGTTTGGGATTGTTTGGCACAGAACAAACACATCCCTCCGCCCCATCAATCACTCTTGACGAGCGTCCGAACTTGGATGCGGTTGAGGTCGTATCCTTGGTCACCAAGAGTTGAAGGCCAAACTTCACCTGATCTAGGTTGCGTCTTATGCTCCACATTAAACTGTATCAGCTCCACATGCACGCAGACACAGAATGACGATTTGCCCTGTGGACAAAACCGGCTGCAACACCATTGGAACAACTCTTTGCAAAGCTACCAAAAACTACCAACTCCTGGGCTTCTCAACTGAAATCTGAGCATCTGCTGCTCCACACGGCGTAGAACTCCAGGATCCTGGCACATGCTCACCGTCATGACCTCCGTGGACCTGCAGTAGCCTTTTTGGCCCTTTTGGCGTTACAGTCTGTCGTTGACGTCAACATCTAGTTGTCCGGCCCAAAATAAACAGAGCTAGGCCCTCAAAAACCAAGGCCTGTACCAGAGGTGCCCTCCAACGTCCCCACACCTTTTGAGCCTCTGCAAAATCTTGCACTGAGACCCGCGCCGGGCAGCAAACGTGAGCACCTGGTAGGGGTGCCAGTGGCTTGGTCTAAAAGCCCAGCATCTTCTGTACCGGGAAGGGTTGCAAAAATCAAGTCTCCAGCTACCGAGCCTACACCTTCAAGAGCTTTGAGCGTGTATGAGTATGGCTGTCCTACATAATGCTCGTAGCATTCGTAATTGTTGTGGGCACGCCGGACATGCGCAACCTGCAAAGTCTGATATAGGAGTGCAGCCTGGCAGCTACCAAGTAATAGGCTGGATGCTCGAAGCGTGAGCCGATCACTTGCCCACAAGCTGCATGATCCCCAGCATTCACCTCCAGGGCAGCTGGTGGACACAGAATGCAGTGGATTGGAATGTGCCACAGCCCAATGTTCTTTTGCATCCTGGCGCTGGTCCCGAGAATCAAAAGGAGAAAAACTGAGCGTACCCGAACATCAAGCAAAAGCTTCCAAGCCAAATGTTGCTAACACTCTGTTCATGAGCTGGAGCACTGAGTGATGCAATAAGTACCTTGTAAGTCCAACTTTGATAGCTGCGCAAACTTCTAATCTCTTCAAAATTCATCGGGCTGGTGCAACTCCAAAGGCATACCCAGAACTGGATGACAATGACGATTGTAGACCACAATCGATTACAAGCCTGCCACCCCATATGAAGCATACTGAACGAAAAAGCACTCCAGCCTCTTGAACGGAGCAGTAGTTGGTGTACCGCGCTGCCCAGTAAATGCAGCAGGGCAGCGTAACCTACATCAGGTCACGGAGTGGACATGTTCAAACAACGATGGCAATTGATTGACCCACTCGAGTCTGTGAGGTCTCGCGACATGCACGACAAGGTCTCCAATGTCGCTTCGTCCGAAGACAAGGACCAGTGCTTGGATGTTATGAGGTGACGGGTTCACTTCTTGAGAGTGCTCAAGGACTCTTCAGAAATCCTGTTAACCCGAGGCCTGTAGCATTCAGAGTCTCGTCAAGCAACTCTTCCATGACTTGCATCGTAAGTACTCAACGCCAGATATCCTGCACGACCACATGTGATCCTCACCTGATTCAGCGCCAGGACATGTCGTAGAAAATCGTTCACCACCTTGGCTGACCATGTGCACCAGATAGGCCGATGAATGAACCTCAAGGTTGTGCATGAAATTGTGCTCAAGAAGGCCAGGTGGCCCACACTGAAGGTGACGTGCGGATTGGAATCACTTGTGACGTTCACAGTGCAGATGGCATGTGACGCGTGAGTTTGTGATCGGATGACACCGGGAGATTTTGCGTCGGGGAAAGCGGTGGGCCAAGGGTCACTTAGCCAACAAAAACGCCGGCTCACTTAGCCAATCCGGAACCCACGCTGTTTCGGGCCACTCAGCCAAAAAAAAAGCGAGTCACCTAGCCAATCCACGATGCTGTCCTGCCGGAAGGGTTTGCGCCCTAGGATGTTTAAGCCAACAAAAACGCAGGTCACTCGATGCTGTCCTGCCGGAAGGATCTGCGCCCTAGGGTGCTTAAGCCAACGATAACGTGGGCCACTTAGCCAATTCACGATTCTGGGAGGATTTAGGGTTTGGGGGTTTTGGATGTAGGATTTAGGGTTTGGGTGTTTAAGGTTTAGGGTTGGGGTGTAGGGTTTGGGGGTTTTGGGTTTAGGATGGTTTAGGGTTTAAAGGTTTAGGGGCTTGGGTTTAGGGCTCACGGGTTTTGGATTTAGGGTTTAGGGTTTGGGTCTTTCAGGTTTAGGGTTAAGGGTTTAGGGGTCTTGGATTTAGGGTTTAGGGGTTGTGGATTTTGGGTTTAGGGGTTGTGGATTTGGGATTTAGAGGTTTTTTGGATTTTGGGTTCAAGGGTTTTGGATGATTTAGGGATTAAGGTTTAGCGGGTTTCGAGTTAGGGTTTAAGGTTTGGGGGTTTCGGATTTAGGGTTTACGGGTTTAGGGGTTCTGGCTTTAGGGTTTAGGTGTTTTGGATTTAGGGTTTAGGAGGTTTTGGATTTAGGGTTTGGAGTTTGGGGGTTTTTGATGTAGGGTTTCGGGGTATCGCGTTTAGGGTTCAGGGGTGCTGGATTTAGGGTTTAGGAGTTTTGGGATTTAGGGTTAAGGGGGGTTTTCAGATTTAGGATTTAGGGGGCTTTTGGGTTTAGGGTTTGGGGTTTATGGGCTTTGGATTTAGGGTTTAGGGTTCAGGGGCTTTGGATTTAGGGTTTACCGGTTTTGGATTTAGTGTATAGGGTTGGAAGGTTTTGGGTTTAGGGTTTCGGGGTTTGGGGTTCTGGGGCTTTGGATTTAGGGTTTACGGGTCTTGGATTAAGGATTTAAGGTTTGGGGGTTTTGGATTTAAGGTTTTAGGGTTGGATTGCGGCTTTAGGCTTTACAGTTTAGGGGGTTTAGGGGTTTGGAGTTTTGGATTTAGGAGGGTCTTGGGGTTTAGGGTTTACGGCTCTAAGGTTTAGGGCTTAGGGGTTTTGGATTTAGGGTGCAGTGGTTTTGGATTTAGGGTTGAGGGGTTTGGATTTTGGGTTTAGGGGCCTTGGATTGGGGGGGATTTGGATTTAGGCTGACGGGTTTAGGGTTTTTTGGATTTAGGGTTTAGGGTTTAGGGGGTTTGCATTTAGGGTTTAAGGTTTGGGGGTTTTGGATTCAGGGTTTAGGGTTTAGGGGTTTGGGACTCAGGGTTCAGGGGTTGTTGATTTAGGGTTTGGGGGTTTTGGGTTTAGGAGTCAGGGTTTGGGGGCTTTGGGTTTAGGGTTTGGGGTTTAGGGCGTGTGACACGTTCCGCGCGCACCACCACGCAAGACGTGTGGTGTGGTGCGCGCAAAGGTTCACTGATCTCTCCCAACCCACCCACCCAGTTTATGACCTTTGTCGGGTTTAGGGTTTCTCTGCCCCCCAAACCCCCTTATCAAGGGGGGCTTGCTTGGAGCCTTACAAGAAGGGTTGAAGAGACTTTCTGGAAGGCTGAGCCCTTACGAGACAGCTCCTTGCAGGAGGCCCATGCGTCACCGAAAGGGTGACTTACGGGAAGGGTCCCTTACAGGAAAGCTGGGCCCTTACGAGAAGGTACCTTACGAGAAGGTCCCTTATGCGGAAGGCGGCTGGGCTACGGGAAGGGCCTCTTACGGGAAGGGGTGGCGAGGCCTTACGGGAAGGCTCCCTTCTGGGGTTGGCCCCTTACGGGAAAGCTTCTTACGGGAAGGGGGCCCTTACGGGCAGACCTTTACGGGAAGGCTCCTTACGAGGAGGCCTCTTACGGGAAGACCCCTTACGGGAAACGCCGCCCTTAAGGGTTCTTACGAATCCCTTCACAGAGAAGGATTACGGAAAAGGCCCTTACGAGAAGGCTTCTTACAGGAAGGGGGCCCTTACGGGGAGGGAGCCCACCAGAATTGGGGGGGAATTTCCGCTTGTGTGCCGTAGACCAAAAAAGGCCGTTTCTTCTTCGGGCTGGGCCGTTTCTGGACCTTCTGCCCTTCAAGGGACCTTTCCCCTTACGGGCGGGCCTTACGGGCAGACTGCCTGGGGGCCTTTATGGGAAGGTTGGGGGCCCTTACAGGAACCCCTAACGAAAAGCTACGATGGCCTCTTACGAGTTCCTTCACAGAGAAGGACGACGAAAAGGCTTACGGGAAGACTGGACCTTTACGAGGGCCCTCGAGGAGGCCTCTTACAGGAACACCCCGAGACCCTCTTACGGGAGGTTCTTATGAGTCCCTTCACAAAGAAGGACGACGAAAAGGCTTACGGGAAGCTTCGACCTTTCCCTCTTATGGGGCCCTTACGGGAAGACCCCTTACGAGGAAGGCTCCTTACGGGAAGGCTAGGCCCTTACGAGAAGGCCCCTTACGGGGAGGGGCGCTCCTCCTTAACGGGAGGGGGCCCTTACGCGGAGGGGCCTTACGAAGCCCTACGAGGAAGGCTCCTTACAAGAAGGCTAGGCCCTTACGAGAAAGGTCCCTTACCTTACGGGGAGGGGCGGTTCTTACGGGAAGGCTCTTTTCTGGGACTGGCTCTTAGCCTTATGGGGGTTGTGCGGGGAGGGGGGCGTTGTGGGGAAGGCTCCTTACGGGAAGGCTAGGCCCTTACGAGGAGGTCCCTTATGGGGAGGGGCGGTCCTTACGGGAAGGCTCCCTCTGGGCCTGGACGGGAAAGCAAAAGGCTTCTTATGGAAAGGGGGCCCTGCCGGAAAGGGACCTTACGGACGGGAACGCTTATGGGCGGGGAGGGGCGCTCCTTACGGGAAGGCTCAGGCTGGGCCCTTACGAGAAGGGAAAGTGGAAGAGGTCTACAGGAAAGGAAGGTCCTGGTCATGTGTTAGGGCCGGGCCGTTTCTAGACCTTCTGCCCTTCAAGGGACCTTTCCCCCTTACCTTACGGGCAGACCGCCGTCTGGGGGCCTTTACGGGAAGGCTCCTTACGAGGAGGCCTCTTACGGGAAGACCCTTTACGGGAAGCCACAGAGAAGGACGACGAAAAGGCTTACGGGAAGGCTGCGAGAAAGCTTCTATACAGGAAGGAAACCCTAGTGGGGAGGGACCTTACGGGGGCCTTGCGGGGAGGGAGCCCACCAGAATTGGGGGGGAATTTCACGCTTGTGTGCCGCAGACCAAAAAAGGCCGTTTCAGGGGACCTTTCCCCCTTACGCGCGGGCCTTACGGGGCCCTTACAGGAAGGCTCCTTTTGAGAGGGCCTCTTACAGGAGCACCCCTAACGGACTTACGGGAAGTTCTTACGAGTTCCTTCACAAAAGGGGGCCCTTACGGGAAGACCCCTTACGGGGAAGGCTCCTTACGGGAAGGCTAGGCCCGAGAAGGTCCCTTACGGGGAGGGGCGGTCTTTACGGGAAGGCTCCCTTCTGGGGCTGGCCCCTTACGGGAAAGCTCCTTACGGGGAGGCTTCTTACGGGAAGGGGGCCCTTACGGGGGCCTTCCCCCTTACAAGAGGCCAGGGGCGCTTACGGGAACGCTTACGGGAAGGGCCTCTTACGGGGAGGGGCGCTCCTTACGGGAAGGCTCAGGCTGGGCCCTTACGAGAAGGGAAAGTCCCTTACGGGGAAGGGCCCTTACGGGAAAGGGAGGTCCTGAAGGCCAGGGTTGCGTGCAGCCAGTCGGAAGGTTTAGGGTCATATAGTTCTATTATTTCCGGCACGCGCAGAGCCGTGTGCCAGCACCATTGGAAGGTGCTGGGGCTCCTCGCTCGACTGTCGCTCGCTCTGGAGCCTGCTGCTTTGAGCGCAGCTACGCTCGCCGCCGGCAAATGCGGCGCCCGCGGCTCGCTCAGTTTAGGGCTTAGGGTTTAGGGTTTAGGCTTTAGGCTTTCCTTACCGGTTGTTAGTAGGGCACATGG